TCTGGGACTGGATATCAGTTCACTGGAGGAACGACGGTTTCGTATTGTTTCTGGAGCTGAAGATGCTCAGTTTGAAGTAAATCCGAACAATGGCGTTCTGTATGTCCACGGAAATATCGACCGAGAGGAGCTGTGTGAAAGAATACATCCATGTATTAAAAACCTAAAACTGGTAGCTGAGAACCCCATGGAAATACATTATGTAGGAGTGGAAATCATGGATGTAAATGATAATTCACCCAGCTTCACTGATGAAGAAAAAATAGTAGAAATTCCTGAATCCACTCTTCAAGGAAAACGTTTCCAGTTGCCAGCCGCACGGGACCCAGATGTTGTTACTAATACTGTACGCATGTACAAATTAAACCATAACGATCACTTTAGTTTACAAATTAGAGAGATGGGAGAGGACAAGATACCATTCTTAGTTTTACAAAAGTCTCTGGATCGGGAAAAGGAGAGCGAACACAAACTGATACTGACAGCAGTTGATGGCGGAAATCCACCGAGAACAGGGACTCTTAATGTCACAGTCATAGTCCTCGATTCAAATGATAACCACCCTACATTTAACCAAGAATTATATTCAGTTACAATACCTGAAAATGTTGATAGGGATACTAGTGTAACTAGGGTAAACGCGACTGATCTGGACGAGGGTGTAAACGGAAAGATTGAATACTTTTTTGGTGGCGAACTTAACACTAAATTATATGATACATTTAGCCTAGATAAGGACACTGGTGAAATTCGAGTCAAAGGAGAAATTGACTTTGAGAATATGGACGTATACAAGTTGGACGTCCACGCCACTGACAAAGGACAACCTCCGATGAGCACTAACTGTAGGGTGATTATCAATGTATTGGACGTAAATGATAATAAACCTGAGATAGAGGTGACATCTGTGTCAAAGATTGTATCAGAAGATTCCAAACCTGGGACTGTGGTGGCTTTGATCAGTATTACAGACCAAGACGCGGGTTTAAACGGTAAAGTAATA